TTTTTTTTTTTTTTTGTTAGCAACTTCACACTCTCTCCCCCCCTCCCCCTCTATCTTTTCTTTTTTTTTCTATGCCTTTTGATTTATTTGTATTGTGAGCCGCCCAGAGTCCTACGGGATTGGACGGCATACAAGTGTTATTAAACTTTGAAACTATAGATAATAACAAGTATCTTGAAAGGCACCCAAATATCTATTGAGAACCAATGATGTAATCTGGGCAGAGCAAGGCACAGCTATTGCTACCAGTACCAACAAATTCTGGAGCATTTGCAGTTTCTGGTTGATCTTCAAGAGCAGTCCATGAGAGCACATTGCAACATCCAATCAAGTGATGATTAAGACAAGAGTCACCATAAAATGGGTCTCCTGATCCAGAAATTCAATTGGCAAAAAATATGGAGTTGTTATTTAAAGACCCTCTGAGTTGCAGTTGCCACTTGTTCCTCAAATAGGAGCCATGAATCCAGGAGGATCCCAAATTGCAAACTGGCTCTGATTGATGGAGTGCAATCTTGCCTGGCAACAAAGGAGGGAGAATCTCCAGAGCTGGATTAACCAGTTCTGCCAAATTATCCAGTTCCACTGGATTCAGGAATGGCTTCTTGAAGAGAAGCTGGACTACCATTTTCTTCAAAGTCTATGGAATCATATTTTGAAGGCATTTTAAGTGAATGTGTTTTTTGAACTGTAATTGAAATGTGTATGAACTTTATTTAATAAGTACAATTTTCCTTTATCTCCAAACTAAGTTGTAAGTCAAGATGACTGATACCAATTTCTTATAACATAAACACCGCTAAAAAATCTCAGATTGAGGAATCTCCAATAGTATATAATGAATAGCAGCCTTCCTGAACCTAGTGCTCTCCAAGGCTGTTAGTCATCAGTATCTATCATTTCAGGTTGGCAGGTTAAGGCTGGGATGGGTGAATTGCTTATGTATCAAAAACTTACCATATACCAGATTGGAGTTCTGTTGCTTCAGCTCTTGAACAATATCAACCACCATTGCAAGGAATGATTTATCCCGGGTATAGCCTTTGATAAATTGAGAAAGGAAAATTATGATTATATAATCATAGCTTTGTTTCTATGTGGATACCACAATTGGTATATTATACCGAGCCGAGGTGGCGCAGTGGTTAGGGTGCAGTACTGCAGGCCACTTCAGCTGACTGTTATCTGCAGTTCAACGGTTATAATCTCACCGGCTGAGGTTGACTCAGCCTTGCATCCTTCCGAGGTGGGTGAAATGAGGACCCAGACTGTGGGGGCAATATGCTGACTCTGTAAACCTCTTAGAGAGGCCTGAAAGCCCTATGAAGTGGTATATACGTCTTTAAA